GAAAGCCTCAAAACTGACAACTATGTCTTCTATATTAAGCCCCTATTTGACAATCATTCCTTAAAAACTCTTTTTTCTCATAATCATTTTCAATCACACATTCTTACAATAAAATATTGTTCACATGAACCCTGAACTTTTCCCTACTTTTTGACCCTGCATTCTCCCCAAAAAAATTACTATTCAAAAACTCATTCTTTACCAAAAAAAAAAAAAAAGGCTGTCAAACAGGGGCTTAAACTCCACAAGTCCGAGTTCAAAAAATTGATAATTTCAGAAACTTAGCTATCCAATGAATACGTTTTAGTGCCTAAAATATCAGGATAAGGTTCTATAGTAGCTGACCTTTATTAGATCTGTGTCGAGTTCTTGGTGAAAGGGGGCCAAGCACTTGGAAAAGATGGAATATATAGGCGAAGTAGAACCCAAAACATGAATAGAAACGATACAAGAGTCTTTCTTTAACTAGCGTGTAAAATGGCAAAGTAAAAATAAACAGGAGTAAACTATGAGAGAGCATGCAGTAAATACTGAGGACCAATTCGGTTTGCATAAAAAGTCGACAGCGATACATGAATTTTTTACTTTAGCATAATGAAAGTAAATAAATATGTACACACCTTTCAGAATCTGAAGCACCTTCTCAACGGCATCTGGAGGGGGCATGGTCTCAAACTTGTGAGCAGCTTCTCCTGCTACTAAAGCAATCAAGAGAGGACCACCAGCTACAGTTGCATAGCTGTAGAAAAGAAAGAACTCCCCCCGACAGTTAGGATCATCAGTGAGATGCCCAAACGTATCAAGATCAGTGCCCCAAAAGACTTCTGGAAACAGCATGGCAACCTTGTTTAACAGGCCAAATCCCAACCTCTTTATTGCATCGAGCTTCCTCTGGGGCAACTCAGGGACAAACTTGATGGAACCAATTTTCAGAACCCCAAGTGGAACTGTGCAAAGAGCCATATCACCCTCATAAACTTGATTCCCGGCAAAAACCTGCACTCCATCACTGCCATAATTAATAGCTTGCACAGTTTTCTCGTAATGAATTGGAACATTTTCCATCAATGCTTCAACCAGTCTTCCATTTCCTCCAGTGAGGAAGCAGTGATCCCCTCCCATATCATAGGGATCGTCTTGATCCCAAAATGCAAGTGAAAGTTTGGAAAGCAAACCTGCATTTGCATATTCCAAGTTTGCAAGATGCCAATTGAACAATTTCATCTCTTCTTCACTGACTGCATCTCCATGAACCTGCCAAAATGTCTCCAATGCAGCCCCAAGAGAAACATCCTGTGAAACATCTCCCATCAACTTCCTAAGCATGCTTACCTTTTCCAAAAGTTGATTATAAGCAATCTCCACTTTGTCATCCAAAATGGGGTCCACTGGTTTCCCATCCACTCTATAAAGCGGACACTTATCCCTCACCTTATGAAGTGTATATGACAATTGCCGTGCCAAAATCCCAAGTGGATTTCCCAATGTACCCGTTAACACACTCCCTCCCAAATCCGCAGCCGCCATAATATTATTACCCTCCAATTTCTTCGAGTATACCCTCCCACCTGCACGCTTCCTCCCTTCTAAAACTGTCACCTTAAACCCGAAAGTCATCAACTGCCTTGCAGCAGCCAATCCAGCAAGCCCTGCCCCTATCACAATCACACTTGGCTTACTCGGTTTCAATGGAATTCTCTCCTTTATTGCGGGTGCAACCCCAAAATTAATATACCCATGCGAAACCAGGTAATCATATGCAGAGTCCAACAATCCTCCACAATGTTTCGGAATACAATCCACAAACATATCCTTAGTCAGCCATTTGGACGAGTTATCACGCCACCTAGAAATTATATGATTCCGAATCAATATATAATTAACCTGCTCTATTCCGCCCACATCTTTAACCACCTCAGCATCTATTTCTTCGCCAATAAGTGAATCTCCTGGGAACCCTGCGCTCAAGGCTGTCGAGGCCTCATCTGTGGCTTTATCATTAATCACGATTATCTCATCTGACACGACATTTACAGTTTTACTGACCAAATTACCAGAAACTGAAATCGGTCCAGGGTTCATTTGAATTGAACTATGCAAATTTCTAACCTGGGTTTTGTTAATTTGGGCTGAACTTAAATGTAACTCATTCCCAAAGCTACTAGCATTTGACAAAGAGGGCAATCTGTGTACCTGGAATGTAGACGTCGTCGGATTACGGGGCCTTCCGCGCCTTTTTCTTCTGGGTATTGGTTGTGAAAGGAAGTGATTTTGGACGGAATAGGGATCTAAATTAGGGTGACCAGAGTTGGAACCGGAATTAAAATCAGGGGTTGAAGAAGGTAGGTGAATGGTGAATTGAAGGGGATTGCTGGACTCGTTAGCAACACGAGTATGAGGGGTTTGATTTGATGAATCCATTCGAGTGTTTTAGGGAGAGGGCTTCACTTGTGCAGAAATTTTTCAGTTCCCTGCGAGTTCGAAGGGAAGCAAGGGGAATGGTGGGGACTGTTTGGATTGCCACGAAACTTTCAGGGTCGGGCGGGTCTATACAGAAACGGGCCGGTCCGGGCCGGGCCGATTAAATGTCCAAATCCACGCTCAATGTGCCTATCCAACCAAGAGTGAAATAAGGTCCAATTTTTTTATTATTTTATATTAGGGATATTAAATGGGTCGACGAGCCAATCCATGCTCGTTTTGGGACGAGATGAGCACGGATGGCTCACTTGAAAAGAATGCACTAGCGTCCTTTCTATTATTTTATTAAAAATAAAATATCAATTATTTTTTATGCTTCCCCGCTCCTAGACAAATTGACGTGAGCCAACAAGCGATTCGCACAGAAAAACTCATCTTGACTTGTCAATGATTCGTCATCAAGGCGAGTCGAGCCAACAAGCCACTTGCCCATTTAGAATGAATTTTATATTTTTATATATAAAAACACATTAATATCTCAAGTTTTTCTAATGCAGCCTTTACTTTAGTGCATGTTTAGTTGAGCTTAAAACCTTTATTTACTATAAGTTATTATAAAATAAATAATTTTCGATGGATCAAAGTTGAAAATAAGTAACTTTTGTGCCCGTGACATAATTGAAGCTAAAAAGTTAATTTTAAAAAAGTGACTTAGTTTTAATCTAACTTTAAACTTCAAAATCAGGTTTAAGAACGAATACGAAAATTAAATAGAGTGAAATCACATCAAACTTGTCGTCTCTAGAATATTAACATAACAATGTAGAGTCACCATTGAATTTAAAGTAAGCGTGCACTGCATGGTTCATATTATTCAAATTATTTGAAATCCATCAGTAATAAATTTAGTAGCCAAGAAATATGAATAATGTCATTTACAGTCGCTAATTACTGTATTTGTCCTACGTGACACACATGTGACAGTTAGTGATTTGAAGCATGAGACAATAAAAAACTACCACATTGATTCATCAAATCACTATTGCAAATAGCATTATTCAGAAATATACATGCAAGAACATTTGTTTTTCTTGATGCAAAAACTCAATACACATTCAAAATTGGTTCTACTCGTTGCCTTAATTCATTTTCTTGATTTTGGCACATATTATATTATTGAGTTTCAACTAGACAAGATCATGGATTGCAAATACCTTTCTAATCTCGAACTTTATATTTTTCAGTTTTGCTCCTCGCTGCTACATCAACTGGACATGTATACTCTCATTATCTACAAGGGGTAGTGTCGAAAAAAGGGAAGAAAATTGTTTTCTTATTTTCTCTCATTATTTTCGTTTTATTATGGTCCGTCTAGTCTAAAATTGAATTTTTTATCCAATTGAAAAGGTGTCCACACGCCGGTATAGTTTAGACTTTGAAGATGCAATGGAATTATGGAAGGCTGAAGGTTGAAACCACCAATTTCTTAAATTAAAGTTTGAAGATGGTAATTTAGATCCAATCAAGAACTCAAATAACATTTTAGGTAAATTTTAAATCTATGTTTCTTAATTATAATGTACACGTGCAATTAAGTAATGGCATTTTTATCAGCAGCTTAGATTTTCATATCATTTCATCTTGTACAAGTGCAAGAATATACCTATCATCTTCATTTTCACTGTTCAGCACTTCTACGGAAAAATGAATTTTCACTCTCATTCAGTGCATGTTCAACATAGATTTTAGCTAATAAAATTGATAAATATAAGCAAGTTCCATGAAAATATGTGGTTAGAAGTTGCGAGTGAAATAAAATGTGTTGTTAATAATAAAATTTGATTAATTTGATCCAATCTATAGCAAAAAAAAACAACTTTAAGAAATAAGGTCTTTATCCATGAATTTTTAAACAAGCGTCGAATAATATTTCGACGTGAAATCAAAATATTACACTTCAAATAGCAATTAGCAACTCAAAGTTTAGCATAGCCTTCTTCTTCAAACTCAGTCATAGGTCGCAAGAAATTCTGTGAGACCACATTTGGCTAAGCTCGTCTCTTTTTATTGCCAAGTACATTTACTTACAAGACGGTAAAGTTTAAAATACGTAATTCTTCTGTTGGTAAAAATTGAATCTCATGATAAATTAACAAACTCTTCTACTTATTTTTAAGAAAAATATAACTTACCGAAACAAACATTTACTCAAAAGTAACTTTACTTTTAAGCGTAGCAAAACATAATAGATAGACAAAATAAGGTCAGTGACCATGTCCACAACAAAAAAATTTCTGCAAACATCAATATCTAAAAGCAACATAAAGATGGAACGGATAATCAAAACGAATTAATTTTAATTCAAAAGTCCCAAATTCGTGACATTTTGCACAAGACGATTACTGTCACAGTAACTGCTCAAAAGCTCAAACAATAGGAGCATATTTGGTACACAATACAAAATAGAACTTCCGCCCTACTAAACCAGCAATAAACGTACCTCATTACAAATGATGTTTATCAACGGCGCACCAGGGATTGCTGGACACCTTGTAAAAAAATGGCAGAAATCTACTGTACAAAAGCAAATTATTGTCAGTTAAATGTGAGAGAAGGGTTATGTGTAAGGTGCAATTCGGGTGCTCTCTCTAGATAATATATATAATTATTGTTCAAAAGCATTCTAGACTGATATACGAAACAAAGAAATTTCCCGACCAAAAGAAAGGGTATTGGAATTATTCCGCAGTTGTAGGGAAAACTAAGCCCTTTTGATGTCAACATTATGAACCTAGAACATGAAAAACAGAAGCAATGTTAGAAGTCTAATGGTTACAAAACAAATAATAATGTGATGTAAATACTAAGCATACATATTAGTTGTGTTTCCCGTCATGAAATTGAGCATTTTTAGATGACTTGAAGGTTTCCAAGAATTCTTTAGCCTTCTGTAATTCTTGCTTCTGCCTCGACTTGTCCCAATTGTGCTCAGCAGCAAGTATCTGAATGATCCTAGGCACCGCCTTCCCTGCTGCATCAGTGTCAAGAAAGGCAAGTCGAGACCTTCTGGCGATAAAATCAACTGCAGATTCACAGTACTCATTCCTTGCACAGTATGCAACCTCGGCTTCTAGAAAAGGATATCCATGGGCAAGTCGCTTGCCCAGATTTTCATTCTGAATTTCCCACCCAAAAAATAATATCATAATGATCTTAAATAAACATCAAATTAGTAGTAGATTAATATATTTCCATCACATAAGCTGAGAAATATGGCACAAAAAGACTGAAAATTCCATGTGTAATTCATTCGTGAATAACCCGATCAATGTAAGAAGGAACATTACAGGAAAGTGAGGAAACCACCTATGCTAAAATATAAAATAACCAAATTGTCAGTATATTTCATTGCAGATCTTTGCATTATAAAATTACTTCAAACTATGCTCGTATCTATGTGCAATGGAGGAGGGAAGTTACAATTAAACAAATCTTCTTATCTAATATTTGGGAGCAGTCACTATTATCAAACATATAAGAATGAACAGTCCAATATACTTGTGGCATGTTTGCTAGGAGGATTTGTTATGCTAGAGTGGAGAATACTGGATAAGGATAGGATTAAAAAACAAAAGCAAGTTAAAATCTTGTTTGTTATCATGTGCAATATCGTCGAGTACTGTGTAGCAAACGTGCACTTGGTCTACTGCTATTTGAAATGTGATAAACAAAAAAGAAGAGGAAGGAGGGATCATAATCTCACAACTGCGAGATACAGATGTGAAAGCATACGGATAAAAGACAACAACTACCCAACTCAAGAAGCTACTATAGAAAAAAATGTAGAAAAGTAAATATGAAATAAAGCAGTGCGTACAAAATATAAGTGGAGGAAGAAGATACCTGAGCAATTGCAGCTACTCGTTCGGCGAAAGTACCATAGGCATGAGATAAATGTTTCGCTGTGGCAGTGTCCATTACACCTGGAACAACCTTTCCGCCATACGACCTCTTCATGCGCACATATTGCTGAGCTAGTACTGTGAAAGATGCAGGATCCCATCCATCAGCACCTATAAGCTGTAGGTTGTATGTCAAGCATTTATTGGCCGGGCTCAACTTTCCAGACTTTATAGCTGCATCAACAGCATCCTCTGCCATGCTGAAAATGGTTCTAGTAAGCATACTACTCAAATGGAAAAGTTAGACTACGAGCATAAATGCCTATGCACAAAAAAGCTCCAGTAAACAAGTCAGTTTTAAAATAAATAATTTTTTGACTGGTCAGGGAAATAAGTAAATTTATTATTTTGACACTAAGGTAAGAGTCACTTGAAAACAAGTGATTTCGTTTAGGTGGAAGTAAGAAAAAAGTAAGTTGTCCAAAAATGTTTTAAAACAAAAGTTACTTTAAAGTAACTTGTACTCTTTGTTAAGTTTATCCAAATGTGCCTGACAGAAGCTTTACCAATATATCAAATATGAGTATCCTTTTTACAGCTTATATAACTTATAGGAACCCAAAAAGTTGACTTATAAAAAATTTAATCATATTTTGAAAAAATTTCACAGTGCCAAATTAAGTTTACCTTCTATATGTTGTCCACTTTCCACCGGTAATCGTAACAAGACCAGGAAAATCTTCACACACAACATGATCTCTGGAGATGTTTTCAGTGTTTTTCGCTGTGGGATCCATAGCCAATGGACGAATCCCACTCCAAGCTGATAGAACATCAATGCGTCGAACCTAAATAATCACAAAAAAAATTAATCTCAAGGGCAGACATAAGTCATTGAGTGAGACAACAAGTAAATGGATAACGTGAGTCTCAAAGAAACAGTAAAATTTATCCAAGGAACGCTACTAGTTATCTATTCTAGAATACATAAAAGTAGGCGTTGACTAAAGTTCGATGACCCAATCAAACTTGAACCAAGAAATCCTTACTAAACCACTTTGTGCATGTTGGATAGTACTGGACAAGATTTTAGCTTAT